GTTTTGGTCGAACCTTGCACAATCTCATGCAACACCGACTGTCGGCTACCACCACACCAAGTTTCAGCTCATTGTCTGTAAAAGTGACGGAGTTGTACCACGTTTTGTGTTTGCTAACATCGACTAGCTAAGGCGGCCATCTTAAATCCAACTGACTGATGGATGTTCATCCAACGGTTGCTTTCTGGAAGTTTAAATAAAATCTGTCAAGAGGTTCACGGCAGTATTTCGGTATTTCTGAGCGTCAAAGATTTTGAAAAGTGGCTTTAATAAAGTTAGAAGAAAATGACTAAAAGAGCACCAAGACAGTGATTAAGTCGTGTTTTACAACAGAAACGTATCGGCTTGTAGGCGCTGAACGAACGACACAGACGTATCTGTGCTGTTTTACTGAGGAAAACTGGAACATCAAGGAAGTCTCCTGATGAGGATTTACAAGGTCAGTCAGCCGCTAATATAATCAGTATTTACCGGACTGATCTAAGGAACTCAGAGAACATGGAGGCTCAATAAGTTTATTTATTGGTAGAGAATGCCGCTGATCGTATTTCACGCCAGTTCTTAAAAACACGACTTCAACAACAGCAGAGTTTAGTTTGACAAAAACAAATTTCAAACCAATTGGTATTAAAATCTTACAAAAATAAAATACGCCCGTTGAAGGTGGGGCATATATTATGGTGCAGTTTTCATCCATCAAGGTCAAAGCTCAAGGTCAAAGTTAAAACAAGGTTTTTGCTTGTCCTGCCCACAACTTCTGATCTACTCAAGGTAATTCAGTAAAACTTCATACACATATGCATCATCACTAGGAGTGTCATACACCGCTTTTCATCAAACCAGCTCCAATTTCAAGGTCACAAAACAAGGTCAAAGTTAAATTTGCTCCATTTGCCACTGCTATAGATTGCTGTATAATAGATTGTCTGGTGTGTAATGTGTCGTATGCTGTACTCTTGTTTTTATGTAAATATTTAGGGCTGCAACCTGATTCATGTTCGTGTTTTGTTTTCCACCTTTGGTTCGAAAACGATTAATACAAATTGGAAAGCTTTTGCAGTTATGAGGTGCCATCAACTCAAGCATTAATCTCTTGATCTTAACTGCAGGGGTTATGAAAACATTTCTTGATTAAGTCCTGAAAGTCCAGGAGACATTTCAGTCACAAAAACAGAAAATCAGAATTTAGTGTATTAGATGGCGGGCAGAGTCACACTCAGAGATGACAGTAAGTTTATTGTAGCCTATGATACGTGCATAAGGCTATCGTTCCAATTAATTATTATATTGTACAGCGTCAGATAATAAAAAGCCACCATAGTCAAGCAGTAAGGATACCCAGGATGCACTGTAGACGCAGAACATGGACTCAATGATATTAGAACACCAGCATTAATGCATGAACTTGTTCAAATCTCAGAAAGATCATTTTTTTAGTCAGAAGGTCAGAGTTCAGATTTCCCAATTTTTCCATGCCTGGAAAATGTGAAAGTCTTTTTCCAGGTTTTTCCTGATTTCTAGAGTCACTGGGAGACCTGAACTGGATGATCTCTGCTTCAACACACATGCAAAATGTGTTCAGCACAGCAAAATTAATTTTAGACCTCCTCTTGTATAAGTTTATTCTTAACAGTTTGCTCTAAGTGTTGACAGTTTCCACATAGAATTAAAGGGCTTAAAGTGGAGCTGTAGGACAAAGAGAAACAAATTGAACGTGATAGACTCCTCTATGATCAGCCGCTCAGATCAGCCTTGATAAGAAACAATCAAACCCTGGAACGAGCCCTATCAGTGGCTAATTGGACCCTTATGAATAATAATCTGTAACTGCAGCCAGCTGTGATCGACCCTTCCACTTTGCCTCTCATTCGTTTGGATCCAGACCAACTGAAGATGATTCATACGCAGGAAGGTGACACGAAAACCTCATTTCTGTGATTTTACATTGATGAGAAACACGTGCCGTCACACCGCTGAGGGCCAGAAGTAGAACCAGAACTGCTGCTTGGGATTCAGACGGGAATTCATCCGGTTCTCTCCAAACAAAAGCAATACAGGATGTGACGAATCACAACTTTATTTGAATGAAATCAAAACATCCCCTGTAACGCTCCAAATTCTTCAGTAACAATGGAGGAAATGGCTGCCAAGCTGTTTTCTTGTCAGTGTGTTTAAAACTAGTGGAAGGAAGGGTTCTGGGTAATGAAGTCATCCAAAAAACACTCAAGAAATGTTGCTTTGAAGCTGCTAAATACCCAAATACAAATGTCTAACGCTGCCTGCCGATGACACAGTTGTGCGTGGAAAAATGCAACCAACAACTGACAGAACTTCCTGAGCTGCTTAAGATCACACATCATCGATAAAACGCATCCAGACGAAACAAAACATCACACATCCTGAACAGCAGAGGGAAAGTATTTCCTCGTGCATCCAATCAATGGAGAAAATAGGAAGCTGAGAATGTGAAAGGGTCACAATCTCAGGGGTGGAAATAAGCCCCCAGTTGCTACTGGGTATCTGGTGTATAAACACTCCACTGGAAAAACATTAGTCTAAGCTTGTGGGTTTACACTCTGGTACCACACTGTGCTTTGAGGTCTCATAGGTCTGGGAGGGAGAGTATCACAAGGGGTGGTGGATTGGACACAAATGCAGACAAGCATAGGGGAGCTCAGAAATAAAAGTAAAACTTATTTTAAACAACAAAACAACTGGCCAACAGCAAAACTTACAAAGGAAAGAATCCTGGAGTGTGAGGAAACGCAAAAGGATAAGGACCCAAATGTTATGAGGAGAGGTGGTGACTGGTTATATAACAGTGGTGGCTGCTGAGCAAAACATTAGTGAGCGGGCATCATTTACCAAAAATTTTTTACAAATTATTTTAAATTTTCTGTGGAAAAAAATAATTAAGATAGATGTTGCTTACTATTTAATTTATTGTTGTTTTTTGCATGTATACATTTTTTTTGTTGTTGTCTTTTTTCCTCCCTGCAGTCTTCTGTTCTGGTCTGATCTGTCTGTTTCAAATAGATTTAAAATATCTCCACTGTTGGTCTCAGCAGGTTTCACTGCAGCTGTTCCTGGGCTTGAGCTCACGGCAGGTCTAGCTACAGGTTGTATCAATGCCCTTAAACCAGCTGAATGTATCCACAGGGCAAAAAATCAGACTTCCCAAACAAAACTATTGGACCTGCCTGGTCAGATCACTGGCCGCACATTCAGATCCATTTCATGAATGTGGATCATTGAACGGTACCACCAGTAACAGTAAATAAAAAACTGTGGATGAATCACTAAAAATCACTTAGAATTCCACTTAAAATTTACAAAATAGTTGAAAAATAAACAGAATATACAGCAAGCTCAGTAAACAAGTAATTTATATTATTTATTGGGAAGAACTACTTTGTTGGGTGAATGAATTTTTCAGGTTGGACTCTGCCACACCTGCCCCAATGGACAAGCGCCACCGTTATCTAGTAAACTGAGGGAGAGATTGTGAAAGTGGGGACACCTGGGCAGATTGCAAATTGCTAATCAGTAACAGATGAGGGTGGCAGACTGACTGAAACAAACGCTGAGAAAGCTGACAGAGGGTAAACGGAAAACACAGAACAAACGCTGGAAAACAAAGCAAGTCATAAACCAGAACACTAAAAATAAACTCAAAGTAAGAAATACAAAAACACAAAATATCGACACTGATCAGGAGAAACACGACACAACCCAAAGGACAAAAAAGGCACAGGTAAGAGAGAGAAGACACAAACACGATCAATACAATCCGTTATCGCATCATAACACCAAACCAGTCCATTTACATCATCACCATTTGATTTCCTTAAATCGTAAAGTCCAGACTCACTGCTTCAGACAGGTGAAATGTTAAAGTCATGCATGGGCTGACAAAGTTCAAGCGTGGAGTGAAACCAACCTCAGGTCACACGTTTGGGAACGAAGAAGCTCAGCTGAAGCATCTTTACTAGAGCTGAGTGAGAACATCTAATATTCCCATTTGGCCAAAACAAACCTTCCTCTAACACGGTTTTACCAAATAATCCTCGATCAAACAACACGTATGTTTAATATCTGCAGCAGATGAAAAGGCATTAACAACGATTGTCAAAGGTTTCCTGCTAATTTAAACTCCTCCATCACTGCACATCAAGGATTTTTATAAAATTAGGTAACACGAAACACATCTTAAGTCCTGGTTAAATTTTTACCCAAACACCACAGAACCACATTTGGTTTCCATTTGACTCAATCCATCCAAAAAGATGCATTGCATAAAACAAACTCACTGGGCAGATAGGTTTCACTCTCTGTGACCTTAGCGTCTTTTCATAAAGTCTGAAGAGGTCACCAAATTTTAATGGTGGTTTATTGCCTGAGCAGCCGTGCCTGCTGGTATAAAGGCACCCCGAGACCACCCCAGCGCCCAAACAGCCCCAGGCTCAAAGTAATACTGGCACAGATGACGCATACCTGCACGAAAACAGCCTAAGAATGGCTCTCTGTTTCTCCTCTACCTGAGGAAACAATTGTGAGTCTTGAAATTGAAACAGCTGTGAATGATTTATCCCCACAGTGAGGGGGTATATTAGAAAAATGTGCCCCTGCGAACTGCTGATAAGAATATTTCAGTTTATAAAGAGGAGAGAGAAGCAGGAACAGAAAGATGCAGCACATTTCCCATCTCCAGACTGCTCAAATATTAAAAGAGGCACTTTCAAGTGGAACTGTTTTGGTTTGTATATTTTTAGAAACAAGAACAATAAAGTTATGAAGCCAAATGACAAGGCCGATTTAATATAAAGTAAAGCAGCGAGTAAAAACAGAAATAAAATAATAAAATGTAAAAAGTCTGTTTTCAAACTCAAACCTTCATCTTGTTTCATTTATTTCCCCTCCAACCTATATTAAACAAATGCTGAGCAATTTCCTGCCAAAAAGGGTAAAACAGACCAACAATACAAAACAAGAGATTGCTTTCAGATACCTGCAGAGAATAAGGTCAGCGGTGTACTCACCTCGGCACGCTGTGTTCTGGGCTGGCTGGCGTCCGTCTCGATGGCGTACACATCCACCAGGTAGAGGTCTGAGCCTTGTTCTCTGTCCAACTCTGCGGCTGTCTGTATCACTCCTGTGTGGCGGCCGATTGTGAAAAGGCGACCAACAGCTTTCCCGTCACTGCGTACAGCCACAATGAAATACTCCACTTTGGTTGCAGAGCCTCTTGGACTCGAGGCATCCAGGGAGATGACGTTGGTGCCCGGCGGCTGGCCTTCTTTGAGAATGGTGATGTATTTGGGCTGAGAGAAAACAGGCCCATCCATCCCTTCCAGGATGATGGTGAGCTCTGTTCTGGAGGTCTTGCGGTCAGTGCCGTGGTCAGTGGCTGACACCGTGAGGGTGTACACGAGCCGGGACAAGACGAGCTGAGAGGCCAGACGAATATCCCCGCTGTACCTGTCCATGATGAAAGTATCTGAGTCCCCTTCCAAAAGCTCGTACTCTACTTCCCCATTTGCCCCCTCATCAGGGTCAGAGGCCACCACTGTTGTCAGGATGGAGCCAATCAGTATGTTGGGCTCAGCAATAAGTGCGTTCTGGGACACAAAGGTGGGAACATTATCGTTCAGGTCTGTGACCCATATTGTAACATTTTTCAGGGCAAATCTGCGAGACTCAACAGGAACAGCCTGATCAGTGGCTTTGATCGTCAGCTCAAACAGGTTGGAGAACTCTCTATCTATTTCCTTGTTGGTGTAAACGAGTCCAGTGCTCGGGTCAATGCTGAAATGGTTCCCTCGCGGAATCTGCTGAACAATAGAGTACTCCAGCTGTCCGTTTATGTCTGCGTCTGTGTCGTGTGCTGTGATGGTCATGACTGAGGCGGAGATGGGAAGGTTTTCAGTAATGGATTTGAAAATGTCTCCAGGAGCAAATATTGGAGGGTTGTCATTAAAATCTCGAACTTGAATAACCACAGGTATGGATGAAGATCGGGGCGGTCTGCCGTTGTCCTTCGCAGTGATGTTAAGTTTGTACAAAGACTGTGTTTCAAAGTCCAGTTTTTTAACCAAAAAAATGCTGCCAGTGTTGGGGCTGATGCTGAATGTGCCATGATTGTTTGTAGCTGTGATGCTGTATGTTATTTCTGCATTCTGACCTGAATCTGCATCCGTGGCCGTCACAGAGGCCACCAGTTCTCCAATCCTCATGTTCTCCAGGACGTCCACAGACAGTGTGGACTTAGGGAAAGAGGGGGAGTTGTCATTTTCATCCAGAATGCTAATACTCAGCACACAAGAGGAGGATAGAGGCACAACTCCAGCATCAAATGCCATGATTTTCAATGAATAAGAAAATGTGGTTTCATAGTCTAGCTTTCCAACAAGAGTCACCTGTCCAGAGCTGCCATCCACTACAAACTGGGCCTCCTCATTGCCTTCAATGATGTGATAACGAACAAGTCCATTTTTGTTCTCATCCACATCCGAGGCAGAGACCCGCAGCAGTTGAGTCATGTTTTGGGCTGACTCAGAAACAGAGGCCTGGTAAATGTCTTTGGTGAATTTAGGTGGGTTGTCATTGATGTCTTGAATGTAAACTTGTACTTTGGCCTGGTCTCTGAGGGGCTTGGGGAGACCCTGGTCTGATGAGACAACCACAAAACTGAACACAGCGGCGCCTCTTTGTCTCATAAGTGACTCGCGATCCAGCTGCAGAGTGCTGGTCAACTCCCCTGTGATGGCGTTCAGTTCAAAATTGGGCTGCAGAGTCTCAAATGTGTATCTGACTTCGCTGTTTGGGCCAAAGTCTCTATCCTCTGCGAAAACTTGTCCAACGAGTGACCCCCTTTTATGCTCCTCCTCAAAATGAAACACATAATTGGTGCTGTTAAAGAGTGGACGGTTATCATTCACATCATCTAGGATCACACTGACATTAACAGAGGCGCTCAGTGGCTCCACGGCCCTGTCGTTGGCTACGACCACCAAGTCATATCTGTCCTGTAGTTCTCTGTCCAGCTCTGCTTTGATGTATAACTGCCCATCAGGAAAAATGCCAAACACATCACGGGTGTTGCCACCAGTGATGTCATACATTATCTCCCCATTAAGACCAGAGTCTTTGTCGGTGGCCTCCACTTTAAAAAACCTGCTGTTGACAGGCTCAGACTCCAAGATAATGACCTCATATGAAAGCTGGCTGAACACAGGTGAGTTGTCGTTGACGTCATAAACGCTGACAATGAGGACGAGGCTGGAGGTGAGCTGGGGGACACCCATGTCCGACGCAATAACTTCAATCTCGTAGGAACTTGTTGTGACCTCCAGCGGCCCACTCAGTGTGATCAGGCCATGCTTCTCGTGGATGTGAAACAGGTCTTTGGGGTTTTCTCTAAGGCTGTAGACCACCATACCGTTGGGACCTTCATCGGGATCTGACGCTTTGGCCTGGAATATTACATGACCCGTGCTCCAGTTTTCTACAGCACTAACATGCTCCACAGAGTGAATAAAATGAGGAGCGTTATCATTCAAGTCCTTCACTGTTATGTTAACAAATGCTTCTCCTGTGATCACCCCTGCCCTGGCTACAACCTTCAGCTGATAAAACCCTCGCTCCTCTCGGTCTATCTGACTGGATGCTACAATCTGACCAGCACTGTTCACAGCAAAAAGCCCCCTCTGATCCCCTGAGGTGATCAGATATGAAATGTTTGTGTTCAGATCCACAGTGGTGGCTGACACCATCCCTATAACTGTCTCGACAGCCACATTTTCAAACATGACAAAGCTGTACACCTTCTGAGCAAAGACCGGCGGGTTATCCTGTGTGTCTATAACAGTTACAGTCACAATGGCCTGGGTGTTTGAGCGCAGGCCTCCCCCATCTGCTGCCGTCACCTGCAGCTGGTAAGCAGTTTTCTCTTCTCTATCTAGGGGCACAAGTGTGGTAATTTTCCCCTGGTTGCTATTAATGCGAAACTTAGAAGTGTCTCCAGCAGTTATTATATATTTAACTGTGCCATTTCGGCCTAAGTCTGGGTCTGTGGCTGAGATGGTTGTTACATAAGAACCCGAAGGCTCGTTTTCTTTCACATTGGCAAAATACTGCACTGGATAGAAAATGGGCCTGTTGTCATTGATATCCCAAAGGGTGATGTTGACTTTTCCTACAGAGTGCAGAGGAGGGCTGCCTGCGTCTGCTGCGTGGATGTGGAGTAAATACGAGGCCTGCTCCTCCCTGTCAAGCTCCACAGCCGTGCTTAATCGGCCCGACGCAGCATCCAGTCGAAACAACTCCTGGACACCGACCGGCGTTTCTGCATCAAATGAGAACCGGATTGTTCCGTTGGCCCCGAGGTCATCATCTGAAGCAGAAAGCAGCACCAGTTCAGTGCCAGCAGGAGCATGCTCCACCAGAGAAACGTGATACGTGCTCTGGGTAAACGTAGGCACTTGGTCGTTCACGTCTGTGATGTTGATTATCAGTTTGGTGTAAGAGATCTTGGGCTGCAGCCCCTGGTCTTTGGCACTGATGTTGAGCACAATTTCAGATGCTATTTCCCTATCCAGCAAAGCGGCGCTGGTAACCAGACCACTGTTTTCAATGATGGAGAACCAGCCCAAAGTGTTTCCAGACACCAGCGAGTAGCGCAGGTTGGCATTTTGCCCAGAATCACCATCTGTTGCAGAAACGCCTTTAATGTAGCTGCCTTTTGGTATGTCTTCACTGATATCTACTCGGTACAGAGTTTCCTGAAATATGGGGGGGTGATCATTGATATCATTCACGAAAATAACCAGACTGGCAAAAGATGACCTGGCCATGGGTTTGCCGTTGTCAGACACGGACACGGTCAGGTTGTAAGATGAAATTCTCTCTCTGTCTAACACACTGGCCACTTTGATCAGGCTTAAATTGGGCACGGGAGACGTGTGCACCTCAAAGTGCCTCTGCTCGTTGCCTCCTAAGATTGAAACGGAAATATTCCCGTTGGCTGTGGGAGAGTCTGCGTCTGAGACGGTGAGCAACGCCACAACAGTGCCAATCTGTGCGTTCTCATCCACGGAGGCAAACTTGGAGGTTGTGGGGAAATACCTGAATTTCACAATGGGGTCGTTATCGTTTACATCTAAAAGTTTTATTGTGGCTTCAGTTCTGCCTGACAGAGAGGGGACACCATTGTCTACAGCATGAATAGTCAGGGAGTACTCTTTTTTACTCTCATAATCCAGACCCTCTTTTATAATAATGGTGCCAGCTTTGGGGTCAATTTGGAAGGGTGTCCCCTCGTCTAAAAAGTACCTGATTTCAGCGTTGGCCCCCTCATCCTGATCTGATGCAGAGATCTGCAGGACGCTGGAACCCACCGCAGCATCCTCAAACACACTGGCCTGATACTGGTCCTGCTCAAACATGGGGGGGTTGTCATTTATGTCCTGAATGGTAACGTTTACTTGCAGGTAGCCAAACTTTTTGGGCTCTCCTTTGTCCTCCACTTCAATCAGGATTTGGTAGAAGGGAGTCACCTCCCTGTCCAAGCCCCCGGTGGAAACAAGGTGCAGGAAAGCCCCCTCCCCACTGGGGTTGACTGTAATATCCAGACGGAACCTCCTCTGCTCGTTGCCCTTCACAATCCTGTAGGTGGTGTGGTCCACTCCGTTAGTCCCTCTGTCCGCGTCCGTGGCCGTGTCCAGGATCACCTGTCTCCCGCTGCTGGCGTCCTCCTTAAAGGACACCACAATAGACGCATCCGGAAACACAGGAGAGTTGTCATTTATATCCAAAACCACTATCCGGACCTCGGTGGGATATGTGGGCTGGCTGGACAGCACCACCACATTAATGATATCACTCTGCAGGAGCTCTCTGTCGATCACAGCTGAGGTGGAGATCTCCCCCGTGGAGCCGTTGATCGCAAAAAGTTTGTGGTTCTCACTGAAGCGGTATGTGAAGCTGGACCTGGTCTCTATGGTGCCCACGTAGGTCCCCACAGGCTGTTCCTCCAGGACCTGGAACTGGTGCCGGACCTGGCCGGATGCTGCGCACTGGGACAGAGTCCACAATAAAAGCAGAAGGATGCGATGGAACCGAGCTGCATGCGCCATGGTGGTCAGTCAGACCCAGTCCAGCCTCCGGCGCATCAACTCCTCCAAAGCATCCTGAGTGATCCACAAAGTGTGCAGGCAGGGAGGAGGGGGTGAGAAAACCAGCAGAGGAGAAACTTCTCCTCCAACAAACTCCTCAGAATCCACGGAGAAGAAAAAAAAAAAAAAGAGTCCTGCAGGAAAAGTTTCCCTTCAAACTCCTCAGAGCTGCGTCTGCAGGACGGAAGTTGCTCTCTGAGATTATTCCAAAGTTGAAGAAGTGAGAATAAATCTCATGGATGGAGTTCATTCAGAGTCTGTGCGCTGAGCTGAGCGCGTCCTGCGGAGTCACGGAGCAGACGCGTCTCTGCTCCTCTGCAAGTTCCAAACAAAGCCGGAGCTGGACAAACTCCCTCCCATCACCGAGTCCATTGGACGGCTGTTCCCAGAACAGCCCGCCCTCCCCCCTCAGGTCCGCCTCGGTCCCCTCAGGCCTGAATTCAACTCTTTAATGAGGGTGTAAAATAATTCATCTGAGCTGTGAAGTAATTAAAACTCACCTGGTTAAGGAGAAATCTCCTAAAAACAGAATTATTAAAGAATTAAGAGAATAAAGTGAATTAAAATGTGATGTGTGGGATTTAAAATGCAACTAACACTTTAATTTTCTTGTACTTAAAAAAGCATCAGTCATCAGTGTGTATTTTTGTGATTATAACAATAATCTAATTAAAACGTCATAATGTATGAGAGAAAAAGCCACTGTAGGTGTCATCAGTCCTGATGGGTCTGGAATGAGGACAGTACGGCAAAGAAGTTTTAAATGTGAGCACAAAGCTCCATCTGCTGCTGAATCCTTGTTATTACATACTTTAACATCAGGTGTAAAAACTAGACAGCTTTATTTATAACGCACATTTAAAACCAGCAGCTGGTACCAAAGTGCCTAACAATAAAAATCAACGGCAGTAATTAAAGAAAAATAATACAAACAATTAATTAAATGCATCAAAATAAAAACAAAAAGACAAAACAGTAAAATACTAAATCAAATCACACTGTAACCAACAAAGTCCATGCTCAATAATCCAGATATACAATCCAACATTTTTCAGTCAGGTCATTTGAACAGTTTTTTTTTTTTGTGTGCTGAAACGTTTCACCTTCCATCCAGAAGGCTTCATCAGTTAAGGAAACACAACACAAAACTGATTCTTCCCCCAACAGCTTACTCCAAAGTAGAACAAACCAGTTGTGTTGGTGCTAAGATGGTCTCTTTGGCACACTCCCTCCTGTGGTGCCTCCCCTCTTCCTTGTTGACAGTCATGTCAAACTGGTTCAAAACCAACTAAGTCCAGGCTCAATAATCCAGATATACAATCCAACATTTTTCAGTCAGGTCATCTGGACAGTTTCTTTTTTTTTAATTTCACACGTGAAAGCCGGAGAAAACAGGTGTGTTTTTAGCAAAGATTTAAAAACAGAAAGTGAGGTGGTCTGTCTAATGTTGGGAGGGGAGATTGTTCCAGAGTTTAGGGCCCACGACTGAAAAAGCCCGATCTCCTCTGAGCTTTAGCCTGGTTCTTGGTACAACCTAAAGCAGCTGATCAGATGATCTCAGCGCCCGAGAAGGAACATATGGTTGAAGTAGGTCAGAGAGGTATGAGGGTATAGGTAGGGATGCACCGATCCACTTTTTTTTTTTTACTTCCGATCCCAATACTTAAATCTGGATTGTGGCCAATACCGATACTATCCAGATATCATCATCATTATTGATTTTATATGAGGCTGTAATAATCTCCTCTCTACAGTACAAATATATGCATGCATGTCCAAAAAGGCAACTTGAGGTAAGTTTTATTAATGTTGGATAAGTTTCAAAGTTAGAATTCTGCTAACACAAAACATGTTTTTTATTCCTAGCTTTAAAGTCGGAGTCAGTCAAGAGTCTGAGTTTTATTGTCATACACGCCACATGTGGTACATGTGGTGGAACAAGATTATGTACACAGGGTCCCAGTTACATCCAACAAAAGTATAAAATGTAAAAGAAAAAAGCAATAAGAGCTAAGATATGAACTAAGAAAAACAACTAAATATCCACTAAGCACTAATAGCATAAAAACAATACACCGAAGTGGATATTAAAGTGATTAAATGGCTTTAAACATCTGCTAAGTTCATGGCCAAAACCAACACAGACATGTTCCTTTTTTTAGTATTTTATAACGCTTTATAATGTAGCTGTTTTTGTTTCTTTTTTTAAATATAATTTTATTTTATTTTTCACTTCATATTTTTTTTAATAATTGTCTACTGTTGTAAATATCTCCTGGAGGGTAAATATAAACTATATCTTGGCTGCAAATATTCGATCAAGCTGTGAAGCAGACAGTCTGATTTCAGTCAGCCGCGCTCAGTCTGCTCCTCAGAGACGGGCTGACTGAAATCAGACTGTCTGCTCCGGACTGAATGAGAGAAACACACCGCTGAAGCCACACAGCTCCAACGTCCAACGTAAAACTAACTTTACCGTGGTGCCTGCCTAAACAATCCTCGTGCTCTTTAATGTGGTGATTTTTCAAATGTTTATTAAGTTTGTTGTATTGTAGGTTGCGACTGAGCTTTCTCCTCTTGATACAGCTGCTCTGCAGACATTGCACGTTGCTGTCTTGCGGTGTTTAGTGTAAAATACTTCCACACAGCGGACATGTTACGATGAAAAGTTGGTTGGCCATTAGAAACAGTGCTGCTCAGACAGTCCACACGTATTTACTCACGTTGTAGCTGGCTGCAAACTATGAACTGGATTTCCTGACTGTGAGGCGGGTCTTATTACTCTGGGTTTCATGAGACACGCCTCCGTTCAGGAAATCCATTCCATGGTTTGAAGCCAACGTGAAGAGCAGCAGGCAGGGAATCACATGTGGAGACGTTTCAACAGACACAGACATGCATCATGGATCGGAAAAATCCGATACGTAAATTATGATGGTATCGGAGGATGATACGGATACTGGATCGGCCCCATCCCTAGGTATAGGACCATTTATGCACTTAAAGGTCAACAGGAGAATTTTAAATCTAATCTGTTACATACAGGGAGTCAAAGAAGGAAGGACAAAACTGGTGAAATGTGCTCAAACCTATGAGTTCCTGTTAAGAGCCGAGTTGCAGCATTTTGCACGAGTTGGAGTTGTGAGAGGGAAACCTGACTGACCCCAACATAAAGCATGTTACAGTAGTCCAGCCAGGTTGTAGCGAATGCATGTGTAACCCTCGGCAGTGTTTCCCCTACCATTATACAAGCGGGGTGCCCCACCTCATCAACAGAACTGAGCACCCCGCCTACCAAACCAAACTTGCGCCACCCCACCACCACCCGGCACGGACGTAGCACTAAGCAAGCGGCGCGAAATACAGGCTTTCTAGCTAAAAAGCTCAAGGCAGCACTCACGTTGCCTCTTCTCTCAAGCTGAACACCACACACACACACACACACACACTCAAAAACTGTCTGTATAAAGAGCGCACAACTCAAACGTGTCATGCTAAGCTAGCAACGCGCAATACAGGCGCTCTAGTTAAAAGCTAAAGGCGCCTCTTCACTCATGCTGACCCCCCCACCCTGCTCAAAAACTGTTGGTACAAGCTGTGCTCAGACATGTCTCTGTCCCGCCCAACTCAACAAAAATCATGGATGAGATGAGCACCCCGCCATGGCAAGTTAACTAGGGGAAACACTGCTCTGTGTTGTTTCTCTTCACTAGTATGACCATGTGCGAGTAAATTCAGGTCAGGGACACAGGACCGCTCTTCAGTGTTCTTTATTGCAGGGATCTGGTGTAAAAAACAGCACACAATGTTCCATCAGTGTGTGTGCAACAGTTGCATGCATGGATCTGCAGTGGTGTGGACTCGAGTCGTTAATATTATGACTTTAGACTTGATTTGAAAAAAAATGTTCAAAGACTTGTGACTTGGACTTTTACACCAATGACTGGGGACTTGACTTGGACTTTGTTTACTTGAAAAGACTAGATATTTTACCCGTAATCTAAAGTTTTAAAACCACGGTGAAATTAGTTTTAGGTTGGATATTTGAGCTCCATGGATTCAGTGGTGTCTTCCTCTCGTTCAATCCGATGCAGGCAGCCTGATTTTGGTCAGCTGTGCTCAGGACCATCAATAAATTAACAAACCAAACCTTCTTGAGAAATAAAATTAATAGCTTTCATGTCACGTGACCCCCCCGCCGACACAAAACAGTCCAGTACTACAGCAGAGTCATGATGGACAGAACGCCTTCTTGTTCTGGGCAATGAACATGCAGACTCTTCCTTCACTGTTTCATGTGGCCACCAGAGTTTTGGCACTGCCTGCATGTAGCGCTCCAGTGGAGCCAGTTTACAGCTATGGCGACATCATTCTACGTCTTCATCGTGCACAAATGACTGACAGACATTTGGCCAGTTGGGTCTTTTACAGATGCAATGCAGAATAGCCAACTGAAATAACTTAAAGAGCACATTCCTGTTCATTGTTCAGTTTGTGTGTTTGTTTTGTTTCTGTCACTCACACATGGACACACACAAACATCTGTTCACTAAGTGACCAGATGAGAGAGGAGAGGAGATAAATTTACTGTGATGGTTCTTTGTAATGTGCTGTGGAACTGTCAGCAACTTTTGTCTGAACATAGAGTTCTGCTTTTGCATTTTTTTTAACTGAATGTTTATTCTGGAATATTATAGTTTCAAAGAAGACTATTCTTGCAGCTAAGCTTAACGGAACTGTGCAATGTAAAGCTGAAATTTTAGAATAACTTTTTTAACACTTTGTAAGTTCAGTTGTATGTGTTTCGTCATGATTTGAGATAAATACAGATTTAACAAATAACACACAGTCTATTATTTACATTTAACATACAATTGTAACAGTTAAAAAAAGACTTGAAAGGACTTGAAATTTCAAGTTTCAGACTCGGGACTTGAGGAAAAAGACTTGAGACTTACTTGATACTTGCAAAACAATGACTTGTTCCCACCTCTGTCTGTTCAGGACAAAAAAGATAAAGAACCATTACTTTCAGAAAAACAACTAGCTAGCGGTTAGCTTCTGTTAGCTTAGCATGCTAACCGGAACAAATCTTATTCATAAAGTCGTTATTTCAACAGAAACACGGCAAAAC